GCCCCTAGCCCGCCCCTCTGCCTTGGTCACACCTCAGCTGCCCTACAGCTGCCGCCCAGGCCAGCCAGCAGGTGTAACCGCAGCGGGCCAGGACCCCCGCCTGGCAGGCATGGCCACCAGCAGGCCGGCCTGGCCCAGCACCCTTGCTGGGCTCCCAAGGCCCACCCCCGCCTCTGAGCAGGTTCTGAGCCACCTTTACTCCCTGCTGGGGCTGAATAAGCCCCGTTTTGACCTGACTGCAGCCCCAAACGGGCTGCCAAAGACAGCAACTGCTGACCAGCCTCAGAGGGAGGACCCCTCTTCACCCCGATCTGGCTCCCCAAGTTTGAGCGAGGCGCAGGCCAACACCACACTCAACGCCAGAGTGCTGGTCACTACACTGTGGTTGGGGTCCTACGGGCGCTCGGGGGTGGGGCGCAGGGCCTCTCCGCCTGTGACCAGGTTGGCAGGGGGCCCCGGGGGAGGGGGGTCTCGGGAAGGGGGAGGCAACATGTTCGCCCATGCCCCGCTTCCGCGGGGTCACGAGACCAGCCCTCGCAGGCCACACGTGTAAAAAGGCTTTTATTTTAATAAGTATAAATGGCTAAACTTCCAAAAGGTCTTAAATAGGATTTCAGAGGGGGGAAAAGCTCGAGAGGCCAGTGAGCAAGGAGAGTGCCTGATGCCAGGCAGAAGAGGGGAGCAGCAGAATCCCCACCCACTGGCCTCCTGCCAGCCATAAATACAGCCAGGCCACGCGGCAGGCCTGCTCCTATGTACACCTGGAGGACTATGTACACCCCAGTGCGGGAGGGGCATGGGGGCGCCCAGGGCGCCCACCAGCCTGCCCGGTCCCACAGTTCCTGTGCCTGCCTGGGGCGCCTCAGTCTGCCATGGCAGAAGACGCCCTGCAGGCTGGGGCCGAGTTGGGGCGGCAAAGGGTCCCCCTCCCACACCTCACCACCCTCTCCACAAGGGCCGGCTCCCGGCGGCCGGGCCCGCCAGGTGCGGCAGGCCCTGCCCGCCCCTCCAGCCCATGCCAGCCACAGCCGCGAGACATCGTTTCCTTCTCAACATGTTTCTCATCTCTGAGAGGAGTCAGGCCAGGAGAGAAGCCTCCGCGCTGGCTTCTGCCTCCCGGGCTCCAGCACCGCAGCAGGAGCCGGCCAGCGAGGCTGCAGGACCCACCAGCTCCCGGCCTGGGGACGACCGCATCTCACACAGGCACCAGCCTGGACTTCCCTGCGGGGGGAGGAGGGCTGTCAGCACCGACACAAAGTGGGGACACAAGGTGGGGACCCGTGAGAGCAGGCGGAGCGGGCAGAAGCACACAGACAGCACACAGCGGGGGGCAGGCCCAGCCCTGAGCAGCACAACTCCCTGCACGGCCTGCAACCCAAGGCGGGCGGCGGGTGGCGGGCGGGCGGCGGCAGCCCTGGGCCGCTGGCCCACACTCACCTGGACACCACGGCCCCAGCCTTCAGGCTGAAATCAAAGCGACACACGTCTCACTGGTGGGTGTGCCTTGGGCCGGGGGCCCCAAGACCCTACTTTCAACTTAAGCAGCTGCCAGGCCCTTACATGAGGAGGTCAATGTGGGGGGACGGGGTCCACCCCCTGCATTCTTGTCCTGAGGCCGGACTCACTCTTCCTTGGGGCGAGCCCCGACTTTTCCACGTCTGGGGCCACAGGCCGTCCAGCCTACAACGGCGTCCTGGCCCTCCAGACAGCAGCCCCGGTGGGGGCGACCCCTCACCAAGGGGCCTTCAATTCCCCATTTCTGTAGAGTGGCCCGGCACTGGGTGGACGCTTCCCAAGGCCAGCTGAGGCCGGGCAACAGTTCTGGAGAAGTCTTATACGCTCTTTGACAAGAAAAAGCCCAACCGGGGGGCAGGCGGCCCGGCGCGGGATGGCTGCCTGCGGCCTCCAACACCCGCCTGGCCCAAGGCTCACCTGAGGGCTGCAGCTTCCTCCGGATGGAGCCCGGGCGGCTCGAGGTCCCGGAGCCGGGAGCCGAATGGGCGCGTGCTGAGGGCTGTGGGGGTGTCTGGGACGCCGTCTCCCACTGTCGGCAGAAAGGGGGGGTAGGCTGGGTGCTACGCTGGCCCCCTCCACGCTTCCTTCTCCTCCCAGCCTCCTGAAACCGTTTCGTCTGCAAAATGGGCGTCAGCCTCCCACTTCATCGCGAGAATTCAGCTAATGGGCATTAACTAAACACCAAGCAGCTGCGCCTCCCTCCGCCTCCCCCAGCTCGTGACCCACACATGGCCTCCGAGGCCAAGGAAAAACACTGGCTAGAGAGACCTCTCGGTTTGGGTTCAAGTTCCACTCATACCTGCTCTGGCATCTCCTGCCCAGCCTGCCCACCCCCACCCCCCCAGCCCTCCCTCCCGCTCATGACCCAAAGTCCCTGTCCTAGTGGCACCCCGAGACAGGCCTACAGTGGTCAGGTACCTCCAGATGCTCCTGACTGGACCAGGACCCGAGCTCTGCCCTGCGGGACCCGGGGCCCAGCTCCACCGACCGCACCCGCTCCGCAAACTTGAGGGAGTAGAGCGTCTCGCTGGTGTTCTTCTCCACGGGAGACACCTAGGGGACAGGGGAGCTCACACCCCACCCAAGCTGACTGCCCCCACAGAACTGGAAGGGGCAGCGTGCTCCAGGGGGTGAGGGAGCTCCAAGCCAGCGCTCTAGAGATACCGGCAAAAGGGGCAGTGACCGCAATGGGGGAATGTCCAGGCGCACGTGGCCAGGCCTGCAGGGGGCGCTGGCGTGCAAGCCGCTGGCTCTGGAGCTGGACAGCGTCGGCCTCTGGACAGGCCGGAGTCCCCAGGAGGGGGCCCCTGGGCCAGGCGCAACCCTGCCCGCACACTGACCGCCACCCACCCTGGCCACCCATGGCCCTCACCTGCACCACCATGAGGGTCTTGCTGTCCCCGCTGAGCGAGTCCTGCAGCAGGTAGGTGAGCTTGGAGTTGCGGAAGGGCACGTGGCCCTGGCGGGAGCGCAGGGCAGCGATGACGTCCCCCAGGGCGGACAGCGACTTGTTGATGTGCTGCGCCTCCCGCAGGCGGCTGCCCTC